GAAGAATGGCATAATTAAGTTTCCAATGACATGAGAGAGAACGTAGAACTGAGAGAGGGTCAAGCCGACTTCAGGAGAAGTGGGCAGGGGACAGGGACAAGATGAGGCTGCTGAGGTCCACAGAAATGCAATTGATTTCATATTGAGTCTAGGAGAGGTGAGAAGCCATGAAGTCCTTTAAGCACACTAATATGTGATGGAATTTACATTTTTAACAGATAATTCTTATTACCCTGTGCAATATAATGTGGGCTCCATTTTGTAAAGTTTCCAACCCTTTCAAGTTGTTCAAATCATTAGATTAGTAATGGTCACCAAAAATAATTGAAATTGTTGTATAGGAGCAGTAGCTTTGAGGATCTAACCTAGAACCTAGTTAGGGACACGGAAGTCCCCAAAATAAAACAATCAAAAGAGACTTTGGAAGAGAAATATGTATGATTGTATGCATGAGTATGTATGAATGTGTGAGTATATAATATATGAATATGTAATAATAAATGGTCACAGTCAACATGACCTATATAATAATATATATATATTTTTGCTATTACTTTACTGCAGTTGATACTTGGTTTGGATTATATCATGAGGTGTGAAGGGATTGATATTGAGTTATGATGGTATAACTTTGCCTACTTTTGGTCATTTCCTTTATATTATAAGTAACATAATATTGTCCTCTGTTGTGTGTTTGTACTATAATTTAACCTTTATTGTTTGAATCTTCATTCGGTCCAATTGAACAACTCAAGCAGTAGAAACATGTTATAGAATTTTCATAGAATTTCTGGAGTTGGAAAGGATCTAAGTGACCATATTTTTTTGGATTTCACACTGTTTTCTTCTTTTAGGGTATGTCAGGATTGGCTGGGAAGTAGGTGAAGGTTCAGGTTGGCAATGTTCTGCCTACACTTTCTCTTTAACTGGAGAAGCTCTCCCTATCTTTTGAGTTTTGTGCAATATTTTCTTTGAAGAGAGATTTATGCTACTGCAAAGTTGCTACTGCAAAATACTCATTTTCATGGGAGGATACTGAGGACAATGGTTGTAAGTGGATTTTTCTAGATCTGAATGAAAGAAACAAGATTTTTCCCTACACTAGATTTTTCTAGTGTAAGAAACTCACTAATTTTATTCCCTACATAAATAAATGGTGTGTAAATGAATTTGTGTGAGTTATTTTAATGAGAAAACCCAGGTTTTGAAATAACAGAGTTCTCAGAAAAAGCTGGAATTAAGAGTTATATAATGAGCTCGTGAAAGAAAATAAAATCATACCAGTGTGTGCTAAAAACAGTTTTCTTTTTAAAATTGTACTGCTTTGTTTAGGTCTGTGGTTAGGTTTAATAACTTTTACCATAATTCCTTATAGGTAAATGGATGTCCAATTTTTTTCTAGTTCTTTTTAGAAGTATTTAGAGGGAAGCTGTACAGGAATAGGTAGAAAAGAAGTAGCAAAATATTTTTCAGTTAAGAATTGGCAAAAGAGTGGCACCTGGCTGACTCAGTCGGTTAAACATTTGACTTTGGCTCAGATCATGATCTCACAGTTTGTGCGTTCGAGCCCCGCACTCTGTGGTGACAGCCCATAGCCTGCTTTGGATTTTGTGTCTCCCTCTCTCAGCCCCTCCCCCACTCGAGCTCTGTCTCTCTCTGTCTCTCAAAAATAAATAAATGTTGGGGCGTCTGAGTGGCTTAGTCTGTTAAGTGCCCGACTTCCACTTAGGTCATGATCTCACGATTTGTGGGTTCGAGCCCCATGTCGGGCTCTGTGCTGACAGCTAGCTCAGAGCCTGGAGCCTGTTTCGAATTCTATATCTCCCTCTCTCTCCGACCCTCCCTGGCTCTCTCTCTCTCTCTCTCTCTCTCTCAGAAATAAATAAAACATTAAAAGATTTTTTTAAAATAAAAAAATGTTAAAAAATAAAATAGAAGAACTGGCAAAAGAATTAACTAGAACCCCGAATTAGTACACCGTATCATTTTATTTTTTATTTATTTTTAAAAATTTTTTAAAATATTTTTTATTTATTTCTGGGAGAGAGAGAGACAGCGTGAGCAGGGGAGGGTCAGAGAGAGAGGGAGTCACAGACGGAAACAGGTTCCAGGCTCTGAGCTGGCAGTCAGCACAGAGCCCGACGCGGGGCTCGAACCCACGAACTGCGAGATCATGACCTAAGCGAAAGTCGGACGCTTAACCGACTAAGCCATCCAGGCGCCCCCACCGTATCATTTTAAAGTCACAATGTGAATACAAGGACATGACTGCCATTTTCACGTTAGTAGGTTATAAAGATTCAAATGATGGAATAACAGGATAAATATTCTTTTTTTTTTTTTTTCCCTAGGAGAAATGGATTTCTTTTAGGGGTTTGGTTAAGAGCACCGTGAAATATCCATGGAGGCATACTGTGAGTAGGAGTAATAATCACAGTATTTAACCACGATGGAATGTGGTGTAAAGCAATCAAAATGGTTGCTGGTAGTAGGGCTGGAGTGAAGGATGGGCATCCCCTGCCATGTCAGATATTATCCTTCTGTTACTGGATCCAGGGTTGGCTAAGAGGAAAGGATGAGGAACTTAGGGTAGTAGCTATTTACAAGTAGTATAAAGTATTTCAGTGTACTGGTGTGTTCTGGCCAAGAGTTAGCCCTTGTTATGGGAATAGTTTCTTTGAAAATTGCCGTGCTGGAAATGTTTCTGGATCTACCATATTTGTTTCTTAAATATCTCCACTCTGCCATTTGTGCACTTGTGGATTTACTCTTCAGATTCAGATAACACTCTGGCTCATGATCCCATCTTTGTCTCTTCCCACATCTACTGATATTTCAGGATTTGGTGGATCAACTGTCTCTGTAGTCCTGGTGACTGACCTCAGCTTATTGATTGTTGATTATTTTCTATAATTTTGGTTCAAATAGTTCAAAGGATGCTATCACACTATTCAATGTAAGATGAGGAGAATATAGTGATAGTATAGGGACCTTTGAAAGTTAAAAGATGCAATTAATGCAATTAATTCAGATGTAATTAATATTTACACTCAGGTAAAATACTTAAATTATTTGGAAGGCGGTAAGTGGTCATAAATTTAGAGATTTCTTTAAAAAAAGTATGATAAACCTCCTGAGTTAAATGAAACTTTAATTAATAATTGTTTAATTAATTTAAGGGTACTCAAAACTATACTTAGTTACTGGATTATTTTCAACCTTGCTTTAATGAAACACTTCCCAACTTGCTTGATCATAAAAATCATGTATGGTGCTTATTAAAAAAATACTTATTTCCTTTCCATGCCTTTCCACACCTACTGAATGAAACTTTCTAGGGAAGGACCTGTAAATATGAATATTAAAAATTACCCCTAAGTAAATATTATGAAAAAATAATTTGGGAATTTGGGAGACACTGTTCTACTTTGTAGATCATGTCATTGTAAGTCAATGTTGAAGAACAATCAGAATACTTAGTAGAATATCTAGAAAAATAATAGCTGCTCAGTTTATAGAAGTAATATTTTTATAGAAAATGCATTCATGCTTTAATATATCAATGCGTTAGAATGGTATAGGAAAAAATTGCAAAAGATTTAGAAATGGACAAAAAGATTATTGGATATCTTCAGTGGAAAACTGGCATTGTCTAACACACACTTCCAGGTTATATATTGTAGATCAAAAGCTATTTTAGTACCTTTTAAGTAGTAGAACATTCATAATGATGTAAATGATTCTTTTCTATAGAAAGACAAATTGTAGGGGCGCCCGGGTGGCTTAGCCGGTTAAGCGTCCGACTTTCGCTTAGGTCATGATCTCGCGGTTCGTGGGTTCGAGCCCCGTGTCGGGCTCTGTGCTGACTGCCAGCTCAGAGCCTGGAGCCTGTTTCAGAGTCTGTATCTCCCTCTCTCTCTGACCCTCCCCTGCTCACGCTCTCTCGCTCTCTCTCTCCTAGAAATAAAAAAATCTTAAAAAAAAAAAAAAAAGAAAGACAAATTGTGTCCCACGGAAATGCAGTTTTTATTGTCCTATTGGTATTGGCCAAATATCCTGTTTTAAGCAAATCTATTATTTCAACATTGCTGTATCTATCTATCTATCTATCTATCTATCTATCTATCTATCTATCATCTATCCATCTTTCATCTCCTCTCACTGCTCTTTGGGCTATATTCAAAAGAGTTGTGATATCTTACTGATTTTCTCAAGAGATAATGAGTCAAATGATATCTTTGAGACATCTAATTTAATATTTACATGACATTTATAATTATACTCTTTAAAATTTTTCAGTAGACAATGCTATCCACATCTTATTTATGCACGCTGAAGAGAACAGAAACCAAGTCATCAATTTCTCTAATATTGCTTTTCTACAAGTACCATGCATTCAAAGAGTATGCAGAGTGCTTTGTTGAAATTAATCAACCACCCTAGACCTTGCTTTTTAGAAAGTACATCTAGTGTTAAGAGTTTTAAGGAATTAAGAAAACAGTTTCTAGGGACAAGTCTAGTTTGGTGATTTTCTCCACTATATTAGATGATATGACACAAGGCAGTTTTTAGAGCAGAAGAATCACAGTTAGGGTACTGCATGGAAATCTAAACTGGGTTTCCTGACATTTGTTTCCTGACCTGGAATTGAAAACCTCTAATATGTGCCCTAGCCTGGATTGCCCAAGAATTAACTGATGCAACCCTGATTCCGTGTTGTGTAGTGTCTCGCATAGGTGTATTTTGTGCACTCTTTATGAATTTAGTTCTTGAACTTTCTTATGCGGTAGATATAAGACATATTTCCTGTTTCAGTGACTCAGAGTGGAGGCAGACACCTAGACTTATTATGATATTAATAATAGAAGGGGGTACAACAATAAAGTTACCATGGAAACCCATTACATGACCAAGGGGAGTCACAAAAGGTGACATTTAAATATGGTCACACATTTTTCTCTAGAGTAGAATATTTATTTAGTCTTTTAATTACAAAAGCAGTATGTGAATGTGTTCTAGATTTTAAAATATCAAACAATGAAGCAAGGTCTCTAAGGATGACTTAGGGAGGTAGACAAGTCCATGAGGAGGAGGTGGGTCTAGAGGGAAGAGATACACCAGGGAGTAGAAATGTGCCAACAAAGTGGAGGTGTAGGAAACCATGGCACATTTGGGAGATATGAGTAAATTGTTCAATGTCAGTGGGATGTAGAATATTGTGGAGAGTGACTAGAGATGAGATTACAAAGAGGGTTGAGTTAAAGTTGTGAAGAATTTTGTATACCGTGTTTAGATGTTTAGTTTTTTCTCCTTTTAGGCAGAGCAGTAACTTGATTGGATATGTATTAGAAAGATGATTTTAGGAATGGACTAAAGAGAGTCTAAAGGTAAGTCCTCTCAAGGAATTTTGTATTCATAGTCCATTTTAAATCTCACAAAAAGGCAGATATTCCCATTTTCTGAATGAGGAAATTGAGATCTAAAGGCATCAGGTCATTTCTCCCCAAGGTTATGAGCAAGTAAGTGGTAGAACAGGGATTTGCCCTCATACCTCTAAGCCTAGATTCTTTGTTCTCATCTTTGCTGCCATTCCTCTGGAGAAGTTAGTCATTAGGTAAGAAATGTGGATGGCAAGCATTGAAGGTATAAATGAGCATAAAACAACTAGGCCTCAGTTAAGTACAACAGTGAGTGTTACTAATTGTGGGATAGCATTCAGAGAGCTTTGGGCCTAGATATGAGAAAACCTGCATTCTTATCCTATCAGTGATCTTAACTAGGTGGGTGATTGTGGGAAGTCAGTGAAGTATTTTGGGATTTCATCTCTCTATAGAGTAAGGAGGTTGATCAAGCTAATTTCTAGATTCTCTTCCAAACTCAAAAGTCTGTATTTCTTCATAAATATCACCATGGGCTGGTATGCTTAGAGAGAGTATCACAGAGGATGTGAAGTTATTTATTATCATTTTCATTTTTATTTGAGATGTGATGATTGTCTTTTCCCTCAGTTTTTTTGGCATCATATATGTGCTTTTAATATAGGACACACCACATTACATTGTAATTGCTTACAGGGATGCTGTTAAAAATATTTAATAGCCACTTTGGCATAGGTATGTACAAATTGGAGAAACCCAGTTATAAACAGGTGGAAAGGTCATTTGGTGCACACTAGCCGAGTTTCAGTTCTGATTGTTGGCACGTCTGACTCTTCTCTGGACTATGAGTGAGTCACTGGAAGGAGCTGTGTCATTCTAATTTTGGATCCAACATCCTAAGGCAATGCTTGCCTTCTAGTAGATGCCTAATCAATATTTGTTAGATGAACAATTTCCAGTGTGTCTTCAGTGTTTGACAAGCTCATGTGCTCAATGCATGCAGCTGTGTTACATGAGCTTGTACTGAAAGAAAAGGACATTTGAATGACTTTGCTTTAAAAAAATTTTTTTTAATGTTTTATTTATTTCTAGGAGAGAGAGAGAGAGAGAGCGCGTGAGCAGGGGTGGGTCAGAGAGAGAGGGAGTCACAGACTCTGAAACCGGCTCCAGGCTCTGAGCTGGCAGTCAGCACAGAGCCCGACACGGGGCTCGAACCCACGAACCGCGAGATCGTGACCTGAGCGAAAGTCGGACGCTTAACCGACTAAGCCACCCAGGCGCCCCCGAATGACTTTGCTTTTAGAAGAAAGCTGACCACCCTGGGGGCAAGCAGTGACAGAAGTACCTAGGATACTGGGCACTCATTAAGTTCCAATGATCTTTTATTCCTTCTTTCTAGAGTCAATTATATCATAAAACTTGAACTACTTTAATTTTTTTCATCAAAAAAGTATTTCAAGGGCAAAAACCTCATTATGTCTTCACACTTACTTTATAAGCTGTGGCATTTTCTAGTTACAGTAAAAAAAAAGTCAATGTAAGTTTAAGTCTTATCAGCATCTCAGGGCTCTTCTTTCTTAATCTCTTACTGACAGAAAGAGATTTCTGTCCTTTCCCTTATTATCTAATCATGTTATACTTCGATTGTGAGTCTTCCACAAGCTTAGGATGGCTGACTCATCATTCTGAATTTATCTTGGAAGCAGCTGTAAGAATTAAAAAAGAAAAAAGGCCTTGGTCAAGGCATGTGGTTAAAACTCCTCTTATTTGTACCATAAATTGTACAATCTCTAGTTCTCTGGTACCAGACTACCTTAACTATAGCATCAGGGCCTGGATCAAACTGGTAAAATTGCTATATAGAAGACATGGAGCTCCAAACAAATGTTTAGAAAATGTGTTTCTTCAAAGCTGTAATGATTCTATCTGATTTTTTTTCTTGTTTTTAATTCTGTGTAATGAGGTTACTTCATCCATTTCTTCTGTATTGCGATATTTAGTTTTCCTCTAATGTAAACATTGTTTAACTTTTAGCAGGATTTGAATGTCTTCCAATTATACATTTTAGTGTCTCTTATAGACTTTTCTTCAAAAAGATTCAGTTCTTCCATGTTTTGAATTAATGGCATCATTGTGAGATGAGACATGATGATGCATGTGTGGCCTGTGAAACAGAATTATATGGACATAATTAAGTGTATTGGCTCAGGAATCCTCAGCCTGAATTTAAATCCTGGCTTTGTCTCACCCCTCTCCTCCAACTGGTTGTACATCCTTGAGCAAATTACTTTATCTGAGACTTAGTATTCTGATATTTAGAGTGGGGTGGTAATGATACATAGGTCATGGAGTTCTTATAAAACACTTAGCATAGGATTTGGAACACAGTAAGCTAAAAATAAATGTTAACTTGAAAAGCAAAAACATAATGAAACTCCAAAACTTATAATGTACATATTATATATAAATAGTACTACCCAGGAAGAAATAATGGCTGGCTATTTAAAAATTCATTTCTTAAATGAATTTCATGTCTTGACATTGATTGATTGATTCATTCATTCTCTACTTTATTATTATGCACAGCACGCTGTGAATATGAATGAACCCCAGTGGTTACTTTTGATTATTGCCTGCTTCCCATCCAGTTCAGTGTTGGAGTTACTCTTACTATTTAAACGTCTTGAATCCTTTCAGCTGGGATGAGATACTCAGCATCTTTCCCATGAACATTTTTCTATGGTCTTCTTTTGCTTCTTGAGTTGTTGGCCACTCGCATCTTGTCCTCTATTCCTGACCTTTTCTCTTCACTCAAGCCAACCCCAAATGCTCACCATCCTTTTCCTTCATTTCCTCGAAATACTACTCACAGAGGCACTTATGTGTTCGACCTTTTATTTTCTGAAGGATTTCCTATATCTTGGAATCGTGTACTGGATGATCCAAAACTGAATATTTCATAATTGTCTTCCTCCACTACAGGAAACTGACTTTGTTCCCGAATCTCCCATCCTTTCACCTTGGGCTACTCCAGCTTCTCCAAAAAGCTCACTCTCTATCCATTAATCTCTTTTTCACACAGACTCCAGAGCTCGATGTTTCTCTGCCTCTATTAGGTAGAACAATTCAGTTCTAGGTCTGTCTTAGTCCATTTTGGCCACTGTCCTGAGGGCTTTATTTTTCTAAGCAAACATTTTCTCCTTTAAGAGGAAATCTGTTGTCAACTTTAGAATAAGATTCCTTCACCACCCTTAACTCAAAGATAAATAAGCTATAATTTTTGCTAATTCTCCACATTTTACTCTCGACAGAGTGATACTTTATTTTTTTTAATGTTTATTTTTGAGAGAGAGATAGAATGTGAGTGGGAGAGGGGCAGAGACAGAGGGAGACATAGAATCCAAAGCAGGTTCCAGGCTCCAAGATGTCAGCACAGAGCCCCAGGAGGAGCTTGAACTCATGAGCAGAGAAATCGTAACCTGAGCTAAAGCTGGATGTTTACCCGACTGAGCCACCCAGAAGCCTCAGTGCTACTTTAAAATTGTGAGTCAGTTCACTTCAACCCTCTGGTTGAAATGCTGTGTGGCTTCCAAACTCAGAGTAATCCACGGTCTTTGCAATGTTACAGGGCTGCAAGAACTGCCTGGTCATCTCGTTGGCTCCATATTGTCCTATTCTACTCCTCTCTCATTCTTCTCCAATAGCACTGGCTTCTTTGATGTTCCTTGAACCTCAAATATACCAGACGCATATACATCAAGCATATTTCTACCTCAGGGCTTTTGCACTTGCCACTCTTTCCACCTAGAAAGCTGTTCACTGGAAAACTCACCAGAGAGAGACACAGTAATATGGGTAAAGGCATAAAAGAGTATAGTGTTTTTAGGAACCAGAAGACTTTTAATATGGCCTGACCTTAAGTTCTGCACATGTATGCAGGGCAGCATAGCCCCAGGTATCAGCTACAAACCTGTTGTATTGGTGCAGATTTGTAGATAAATTAAAGAAGCTTCAGCATCCCTCAGTTGCATGAACTCCTTCCAAGGGCCTGGAAGAGACCTTATCAATGTATTTAGAAGGTTACATGGTTTTGTAAAATTTGTAAAAGTAAGGCATTTTACCTAAAATTGGTTAGAACAGTGATTTCCTTTCATTCTGACTCACATTTATCACACTTCTCATGCTGAGTGGTGTTGGAATGGTTGCGGGCAATTTTGGGATCTTGTGTCAGGGAAGATGAGCTGGGGGTTCTTTTATTTGACTTTAGTGGAATAATATTGTGTGGTTCACAGTCACTTCTGGATAGTTACCTTTGTGCTAACTGTTTCTGAATGACTTCCAAGAATGCTACAATCCATTGCACCAGTTGAGCTGTAGGGCCAGGAGTCTTATTGTGACGCGACAATGCCCTTTAGTGGCCAACACCAGCAGTAAGGTAGTGAGGAGGGTCACATGAGAAATCATCAGAGCCAGAAATCAATCCGAGCAAAATTTGTCCCACTTCCAGCTTATATACAAAAGAATCTTGTCATTTCCCCAAATTTGAAAACAGTCCTAAACAAGCTACATGCATTTCCTACTAGCTGAAACAAACTCCCTAACTGCATTTTCCGTTTTTTGCTTCTCAATTTATGGTGCTGTGCTGCTGATGCAGGCAGGTTGGGTCCCAGGACCCAAAGGGTGTCCTGAAGGACCAGCCAACAGGGTCCCTGGCTGCATGCATGGTAGAAATCAAACACAAGCCAGCAAGACGTGAAAGTAGAGTTTACTGAAGGTATAAAGAGAGTCCAGGTACAGACAGATGTCTGAGAGGCTCAGGAAGGAGGGAATCTTGTCTTAGTTCAAGGTTCTGAGTTTGTTTGTTTTCTTTGTTTTTTTTTTTTTTTTTTTTTTTTTTTTTTTTTTTTTTNGAGAGACAGCACAAGCAGGGGATAGTCAGAGAGAGGGAGACAGAGAATCCAAAGACAGGCTCCAGGCTCTGAGCTAGCTGTCAGCACAGAGCCCGACATGGGGCTCGAACTCACAAACTGTGAGATCATGACCTGAGCTGAAGCCGGATGCTTAACCAACTGAGCCACCCAGTCACCCCAAGGTTTCTGAGTTTTTACTGAGGATTGTGGTCTGGTGTACCTGTACTTTCAGGCATCCAGGAACTGAGTAGAACGTTTTTACGTTTCATTTTTACGAAGGCCCACGTGTTATTCCTTGGAGCCGGGGGTCTGGGCATAGAAGTGTCAAACATTGATGGTCTGGAATATGATGAATATGATGGTTTCCTTCAGTCATTCTTACCGGGTCCTTCCTTTGATGTTACCTATTCTAAAGAAATTACTGACCGCTTGTCCCTTGCAGAGGGATACACTATTTGCATTTTGAGGCATATGTAAAGTGGGGGTGCAGGTCCTAGCAAGAACAGAAGCAGGAAAAGGAACAAAAAGCAGGTTTTATGGAGTCCTTCAGCTTCCCTATCTCACAGAGCATGAACCTGTGCAGATGACACCTTATGAGTGACATTACAAATTCCTGCCATCTAATAAGATTTAAAATAGCCCATCACTCTTACTTAGCTGTCCCGTCATCCATCTTTGATGAACTATCAAGTTTTCTCTTAGAATTATTCTAAAATTTCTTTCTTAATCTGACTGGGATACTAACTCACACCCACATGACATCCACAATTAAGACGTGATTACACTTACCAACTGTCCCTGTTTTCCCTGGACCAAGGGATTTCCAGGGAAATGGACTTTCAGGGCTAAAATGGGAAAAGTCTTGGCTAAACCGAGATAAGTTGCTTGGCTTATAGATCCCTGTGTTATTTATCAAGAGTAGCAATCTAAGTGACAGCTCATGGGACTTTAATCTTCTCTCTGCCACAAAATTACACTTTGTTTTTCCCCTCTGCTTGTAATTTATTCCCACATGAGGAAAATTATTTTTCCTTTTCATATATGATCCCTATAGCCGTGTCCTGCTATATTGCCCTTTGTCTTTGGTATCCTGACTTTTCAATTGACATCTCCTTTTTGTCATCTTAAATGTTACCTTTTCACCAAGTTCCCTCCCTTCATCTATAACAACTTCACTTGGCATTTTTTTACTTATGCTATCATTCTATCTCTCTCCTTCCCTCTTATAAGAGATTTCTCAAGAGTAGGCTATGAACTATGTCTGAATTCCTTCATTACTTCTCTTGCTTTTGGCCTCAGCATTTCACTGAAACAATTCTCTTAATAGTTCTCTAAACAATTGCCATGTGGTTCAACAAAGAGTCTGTTGCTTTTTAGCCTTCTGCCCCTTTGGAGTCTCTGATTTTCCCTTGTTAATTTTCTTGACATGCTTTTCTGTCTTGGCTTCTTTACACGGCCCCACCCTAAAACTCCCTTTAGCTCTCATTCTTTCCTTTTGTTGCCTCTACTGATTTCTTTTTCTCTTTCCTTCCCCTAAAAGTTGGTGTTTGTCAGTGTGCTGCATTTAATCTTTTCTGTATATGTTCTACTCATTGGCATTTTATGTGTTTTCTTAAGTTTAACAATTATTTCAAAGATGGTTTCAAACCTTTTATCCTTTTATCCAGACCCTACCTTGCAACTGGATCATTTATTCTTAGCTCTATCCTGGATAATTTTTAAAAAATTATTTTTTTTGATGTTTATTTTTTATTGAGACAGAGAGAAACAGAGCATGAATAGGGGAGGGGCAGAGAGAGAGGGAGATACAGAATCCGAAACAGGCTCCAGGCTCTGAGCTGGCTGTCAGCACAGAGCCCGACGCGGGGCTCAAACCCATGAACCGAGAGATCATGCCCTGAGCTGAAGTCAGATGCTTAACCTACTGAGCCACCCAGGCGCCCCTATCCTGGATATTTTTTAACAAAATCCTTCTGAGCTCTAAACTTACAATGTCTAAGTACAGGACGAGGATATATTTTTTTCCTCCATACAGAAAAGCTCCTCTTCCTAGGTCCTCTGTTTCTTTTAATTTGGGGCACCTGGGTGGCTCAATCCACTAAGCATCCAACTTTTGATTTCAGCTCAGGTCATGATCTCATAGTTCTTGAGTTTGAGCCCTGCATCAGGCTCTGAGCTGCCTGCAGAGACTGCTTGGGATTGTCTCCCTTTCTCTCTGCCCCTCTCCCGCTCACTCTGTCTCTCAAAATAAATAAAAATAAAGTTTAAAAAATATTTTAAAATAGTACATCTGTTTTTATAGTCATTTGTGCTCAGAAACTTGAGATTACATTTCTCCATCCTGAGGGGTTACTTTCTCCTAATACAAATTTAACCAGTTGCTAAGTCATGTATAGTCTAAGTCAGGAATGGCTCTTGCTTTTTTTTATTTTTTTTATTTTTTTTTTTAAATCCAGACCTCCTGCCCCAGGTTAGGCCCTCATGACATCATCTTAACTTCCTGTCCTTGCCTGTATTCCCATTTCTCATGTTTCCCCACCAATTCATTCTGCACTCTGCTTCCTTAGACTGACTTTCCAGCTTCCCTAAACTATGACCTACAACTACTCTTTTAAACCCTTACTTTCTCCTAGTCATCCCTGAAACACATATATGCTCCTTTCCAAGTGATCTTCTAGTTATTATTTAAATATCTTCTATGAGGGGTGCCTGGGTGGCTCATTTGGTTAACTGTCCGACTTTGGCTCAGGTCATGATCTCACAGTTCATGGGTTTGAGCCCCGCGGCGGGCTCTGTGCTGACAGCCAGCTCAGAGCCTGGAGCCTTTTTCAGATTCTGTGTCTCCCTCTGTCTCTGATTCTCCCCTGCTCACGCTGTCTCTCTCTCCCTCAAAAATAAAATAAAACATTAAAAAAATAAATATCTTCTATGATAAATCAGGGTATTGCCTTGTGCCCATGCTTCTTTCCATTTAGAGTGACACTATCCCATTGTTGGCTTTTAAAATTCATGTTTAAAATTCATGATTAAAATTCATGACACTTCCTCTGATATCTTCTGAATCCTTCATCATTTGTGGCCTTCTGATCATTTACCTCTATTACTTTCTTTTGTTATCTTCTTTGGTATGAACCATATGATGTCCTCATGAAATTAAAATTCTGAGATGAGAGAGACTGTCAGACACTTTCATATGCTCTTTATAGTGACTTGTGCCCAGTTGAGGCTCAATCAGTGTTGGTTGAAATGTAGTGGTTTATTTTAGTTTTAGGTTTCAGACCTAAAACATTATTTCAGAAGATCATGAACCTGTACTTGTTTCTACTTGTTGATTTGAAAGGCGAAAGCAAAGCTGAAGCAAATTGCCACCAGGTGGCAGTGCTACAGAGCTGCTCCCAACCTCTGATGTAATCTGGATAGAAATCATTTACTAGGACATGTTCTGCCCTGATCTATACAAAATCACGGAATCAAAGCTATTGGCTTTGGAAGCGACCTAAAGACTCTTCTGTCTTGCATTTTAGTTGTAAAGATGAGGAAACTGAAGTACAGTGTGTGTGTGTGTGTGTGTGTGTGTGTACACAGAGAGAGAGAGAGCTAGAAAGGATTTTTCAGGTTATTTAGGGTTGTTTATAGATAAGGAAAATGAAGTCATGACCAAGGAGATGTATTAGTTGGAATACTTTTGACTTTGTCATAAATTCAACACAAATTGGTTTTTAAAATTAAAAAGAAAGGAAGGCAGTTTTTGGCCCAGCTATCTGAAGAGTCCAGGGATAAGCCTAGCTTCAGGCAAGGCTGGAGCCAGGGTTCCAGTCTCTAGCTTTTTATTCTGCTTTCTGCTGTGATGGTTTTATTTGAGGTTTTGTATTTCCTGCCCACTCTTGTCTTTCGTTATCCCTACTGGTAGGTGTATCTGCAAAAAGCATAATTTCCTTTTCTAACAGTTTCAACAAGAACCCTGGAATTGAGTCTCATTGGGCAAACCTGGGCCATGTTCCGGCTGGAGCAAAGGGATGGGTGGTTGCCATTCATCTCTCTGAGAAATGGAGGTTGGTTTGGGGCAAGGTCAACATGTATAGTTTTCTATGAATAGTTTTTCATTTCAGGATGGTGCCCAGCTGAGCTGGTGATTGGGAACTGAGATCTAACTGAGGCCGACTTGCCGAGGTATGATATATTGGAGACGCATCTGCTTAGATGGGAAACTTTTTCTAATGTGCCTCAGGTCACTGCATTCAAAAGAATGAATGAGCGCTGAGTAGACCTAAAAATGTCCACTTCTGGTGGCAATTAAAAAAAATTATGGCTAAATGTGGTTTTCTTTTTCTTTATTTCTATTTCTAAATGGAAGTTTTGATTGTATTATACAAAATGTGTGGCGATTTTGAGTCAGAATGCCAACCTGGAATGTTGGGTCCGCCAAATGTTAGCTGTGTGAATTTGGGAGGAGTTTTATATTTCTCAGCTTCAGTTTACTTATAGATAATAACCACATCTCAGGAAGAATGAAGGATTAAATGAAACATAAAAAAGCCCATCCAAGAGCCTGGGACATAGTAACAGCTCAATTAATGTTAATTAATTGTGGCAGTTTTTCAACATGAGCCCCAAATTCTTTGACAATCTTCTCAGAGAAGGATGGAATCTATGTCCCCTTTTCTTGAGTTGGGGAATGCTTGTGACTGCATTAAGTAGTAGAATATAGAAAAGTGACACCATGTGATGCCTGAGCCTATCACAAAATGTCACGTAGCTTTCTCCTGGAATGCAGCTTGAAATGCTTCTCAGAAGTTCCCTCTCAGTACACTCCCTCTTTGAATGAAGCCATCATGTTGTGAGAAGCTCAAGCCACACAGAGAGACAGATTTCCCTGTAACCTTTCAGTGGGAGGAATATCAAAGAATTTTCGGGTCATGTTTTAAAAATTCCACATGCTGTGTTAAGTACTATGAGGAGTGTGATTTTCCTACAAATACTTATTTCCTTGATTATTATAAGGATTGTCTGTAGCTATAATGGTTAAATTTATGTGTCAGTTTGGATAGGCTATGGTGCACAGCTGTTTAGTTAAACACCAGTCTAGATGTTGCTGTGAAGACAGTTTTCAGAAAGATCAAAGACTGAGCGAAGACTTGTGAGCTGACTTTGAACTCAGAACTGCAACATCAACTCTTACCTGAATTTTCTGCTTCTCCAGTCTATGGATTTCAGGCTTGCTAGCCCCCACAAATACATGATCAAATTCCCTAAAATAAAGACCCACTACACCCCCATATATATCATTATGTCTATCATTCTTTTTATTGAGAATCTTGACTAATACAATAACTAAATATAGCAAGACAGAAATCTTTTTAACATAGAATAATTTCATTTCCATCATTAGATGATTCAGGTACTTGATATCCTAATCCACACTTTAGAATTTAGAGAGTACTTATGCTGTTCTTAAATTATTCTACATATGGTTAAACTTTGCAGCACTAATAAGAATTTTAGCCTCATGTTGCATAATATTAATCTTTCATCGCCTATAATTCCCATTATATGGAGCTCAACTCAGTAAACCTCTGGGGATTGATTATTCCTTGGCAGTGTGTGAACAAGTTTGCCATGCCGAGAGTAAAACTATCATTGTGAGGGCTGTGTGCCTGCTTAAGCACATTCTGAAGTGACATTTTTTGTTTCACTGTCTCATCAACTCATTATGTAAATGTCATTATTGGGCAATTAATAATTGCAGGTAGGTGTGGGAGAATAGTTTCCCCTATTGACATAGAGATTTCTGATCTGATGATTGGAGATGTTATGTGACTCATTTACAAGTCTTCTCTTGGGGGAGTACATCAAAGATGCAGCTTCATGATTTAATGAATTGACTCAAATTACCCATCTTTTTCCCACCTCTTACCAACTTTTATGGCTCCTGGGTCTAGCTGTCTTTATTTGTCTCATCTGAGCCTTGCTGATGGAATCAACATAACTTTCCCCAAATTTCTGTGCAATACTACTAAAAAAATTCTTCATTTCGTTAAATTATACTGAATTTTTAAGAGGAGAAGCATGTGGAACAATGCAGAAATTAACCAAGACTCTAAAGACCTAGATTCTGATATTAGCTGTTGGCTCTTTAAATTGACGTGAGTCCCTGGACATACTTCCACACAGCCTCAGTTTTTATCCAAAATGACAAATTTGAAAATTTGGTTTCTACTACTTGGTAACTATTAAATTTTTACTTGGAACTGTTAATGAAGAGATCCTTTTTGCCAAGCTCTTACAGAGAGTCATTGCTAAGATGTTTGTAAAAGGAAACAGCTGAGATGTGTCTAATTTATAATTTATTAATTATAACCAGCTGCAGGGAAAGGAAGGCAGCTATTAGATGGGGTGGGAGGAAAGAATGAACTTTTAGAAAGTACGAGACAATAAAATATGTCCTTTAGATTGAGGGGTGACTGAGGAGTTGATCCTGAGCTAGGAGAGAGAATATAATAAAAACATCAACTGTTGCTAGAAACGAAGATGGAAGATGTCTTTTAGGACTTTTAGGCAACTAAACAGTTGGGGCCTTAGTAAGACTTAAATTCTTCCATCTGATCAAAAAGGCTAAAAGATTTGGTGGCATATTCGACTAAAGGAAGACAGTTCTAGCAACAGTATGGATCCATGTAAATCTGCCTAGGACCTTTAGAATAAAAGGCTTTGGGACTGCTTCAGATAAAGAAGGAACCACTTCTCCTCTTTCCATCTCTCCTATAGTGAGCCCTTGCCTGTTTTTTTTTTTTGTTTTGTTTTGTTTTTTTGTTTTTTCTCCTACTGTCATTTCTGAACCTGTGGACCAGAGCCCTTTCTGAGTACCTGGCCGACTCTGAGACTTGCCTTTTGATTTCAGCTCTCATCGACAGTTCCCTCTACCCAGTGGGCATCTGCATGATTCTAACTGATCTGGAGTCTTTTACAGGCAGTCCAGTCTCCTAACAGGGACAGTCCATGCTGGTAAAAATTCAGTTATGTCCAGCTGAAGCTGTCAGAAGCAGAAAATTCCTTGAACTGGGAAAACACTTGTAGCAGTCCACAAAAAAAAAAAAAAAAGAGCCAAATTCTAAGCAGAAAATTTTCATTTAGAATATGAGATTTCTTTGTAGATGTGATGATGAATAGAGCCTATGAAGTGCCTGGTTTTTGATATTAGTGTATTCTCACAGCAACCGTGCAAGCATTTACTGCTATACCCAGTTGACAGAAAGAAATTGAAGTTCAAAGAGCTTAGAAAGTGAGAGTTACAGATAATGAAAGGTATTAGTATTCAAGCCTAGCATGGCTAAGTACTCTTTCCCCTACTTTGCTAAGCCTGCATGGCTCTGAATGTGCTACTTAGTTTCTGTGTCATTTTACAATAACTAAATTAAAAACCGTAGTACTTGGTCTCTAAGGTTGTTGTTTCTTTACTGAAATGAATTTACTAAAGGCTAAAATTTGTAAGCCTAAAGACTTGATAGAATAAAAAAGGTAGAACTGAAAGTTCAAGTCCTTGGCCTAAAGAATGACTTTTTAATAAAATCTCTTCATGCCTCTGAGACATTTATTTATAAGATATTTTGCAAAGTTTTTAAGATTCAATGTGTCTAATGAACAAACTGCACCTCTTTACTCCCATACCGCGTCATCAACTGTGAAGGTAGCTCATTTATTTTATTCTCCAGTTTTCTGGGAGAATCACTTAATTTCTGATTCTGACAAACAACATGAAACTGTTCAAATAACTGTCTTTAAAATGATAATTTTTATATTCATGGTACCTTTTGAGTATTACTGACATATTCTCAAGTGATGACTTGGATTGACAACACGGAGAAACTATTTTCCCTCCTGATTTGCTCTTTGTGGTAGATGAGGTTCCAAATGAATATGTTTACTTGAGTGTTAAAAGGTACTATTGAAATGATGTGAGAAAAATCCCATTTTGAGAACTATGTTACCAGATTACTTTAAATTTCTCCCAATGTGTTAATAAAATGCAAAGCTGGAACTAGGCATTTTTGTGCTAGAGGCAATTTTTCTCTAGAGGTTTCTTTTCCTCTGCTTTGCTTTATGGACTGTCAGATCATGGAGACTTCGTTGGAATCCTCAGTAAAGCTCTTTTAAAGCAGGAATTGTTTCTTGCTTATCCTTGAATAAGCCAGTAAAGTGGCCATCTATTTTGCTTAAGGTTTCTTAATTTTGATAATCTTGTTAGCTAATAATTGCCTTGGTCAGCTACTTTGCTAAGCATTTATCATGCATTATTACAATCCTATCAGGTGCTATTGTTATTCTCTAGAAAAGGAATCTAAGAATCAGAGATGTTGCAGTCTTGCCCAATTTCATGCAGCTAGAAAGTGATGGGGGCACCTGGGTGGCTTAGTCGGTTAAGCGTCCGACTTTCGCTTAGGTCATGATCTCGCGGTTCGTGGGTTCGAGCCCCGCGTCGGGCTCTGTGCTGACTGCCAGCTCGGAGCCTGGAGCCTATTTCAGTCTTAGACTCTCCCTCTCTCTCTGACCCTCCCCTGCTCACGCCATCTCTCTCTCTCCTAGAAATAAATAAAAAACATTTAAAAAAAAAAAAAAAAGGAAAGTGATGGTGCTGGAATTTGACCCAGACCTTTCTATGTCCAAGATCCATCCAAGGCTTTTTTTTTTTTTTTTAATTTAAATTCATGTTAGTTACCATATGGTGTAGTATCTATTTCAGAAGTACAATTTAGTGATTCATCACTTACATATAATAACCAATGCTCATCTGTTGGGAGCCATTCTGAGCCCACTAGTCGAGAAAACTCCTGGTGAGGTTAAAGCAGGTTTGCACGGTCTCTTGCCAATCAGATGACGACCGATATCCACCCCCACTCAATTATTTCTGCTTGAGCACTGACCCCTACGGTACCTTGTTGATCAATATCAGGAGTGACTTGTCCCCTTATTCTGGCCCTGGTATGATGATTGCACCTTGTGAAGGAACTTATTGTGGGAACTTCTTCTTTTGATTATGGGAACAGACATCGTGTCTCCAGAAGGTCCTGTTTCCCTCCATACTTTCCCTTAAGCTATGAACAGGCTAATGACCCCTAGTCATAAAAGATTGACCTTTACATGTACAATTCTGTTTCTACTGTTGCGTTAGTCCAGGATGTTCATACAGCTCAACATGTAAATCAACTAACCAAAAATGTCTCTCATGCCCTAGCTATCAAGAAATCATAAAATTAGACACAAAAGTAAATGCCCTTG